GGAATTTATCGGCAAACTCGAAGACAAAAAGTCGACCTTAATTTGCTACATACTATTTGGATTTTGTGCGGTTGAACTTGGTTCTAAATTTTGCAGTTTAATCAGGATCCTGACAATATCTGATGAATAATTCCGCAAATATTACATAACACCAGTTGCAACTTAAGTTATCTGAAATGCTTTCTGCCGAATAAATTTTTTTCTAAGGCATTTGATCCGTAAACAGCAAATTATTACATTCAAGAACTTAAGGTGCATTTTTCTAAAAAAAATTGTTATGTAAGACATCGAAATTTTCACACCGTTGTTTAGATAATTATCACTGTCATCAATTTCGAACGAAAAAAATATGCGTTGTCATTTAAAAAAAAATTATGTCATCGCTGCCGTAAGTGGATTATCGAAAAAAAAATTTTTTCCACATAACAAGGTGCCCTGGATCAAATAAAAATCGACGGGTCTCACCATTTTTCGAAAAAAAATTTTTAACGAAAATATGAATTTTATGCAGAACTTTTTTACCACGCTGTATGTGTCAGACACCTACTACTAAAATCTCTTCTAGGGAAATAAACATTAGGCGGCAAAGCTTGTACGTGTTGACAACGTACGAGTAAAAAAGCTGATATTTTTAATATATTCGCTGATGTTCATGCCATTTCTCAATGGCGGTATTTACTTTTAGAAATTTTACATGGCGCCGCGCGCCGTAGCAAAGGAATACCCAAGATAACTTTGGAAAATAAAGATACATTTTGCAAATAACCTCCACCAACCATTTTTCTCTTTTTCTTTCAAAATAAGAGTCAATGTCTTCGTAAAAAGAAGTTCAATGGGATTAAACAGACTGTAATCCGAAAAAACTATCATATCATATATTATTTCGAATAGTAATGGTACCATTGGTTATCTAAAATGCTCGAAATTTAATGGAATTATCTTCAAAAATGTTTAATATTAATAAGAAACACTAAAAGAAAAATTAAATAGGAACTAATGTTTCGGTTTAGGACTTACACCTTAGTGTACTCATTACAATCAAAACCTAAATATCTGTTAAAAGTTATTACACAGTTTTTCAAACGATGTTTCAAACATTTTTATATAGAACTTTTTAATCTGCAATTAGACTTAGATTTAGGTAACTAAGATTAAACTCACCTTCAAATTTGGATAGACTCTGGTCCAGAATAAAATCCCAACAGGTTCCTATAGGTAATGTTGAAAATATATTCGGTAAATCTGTCTGTGGAAAACTTCCTGATAAACGCTCGGAAACAGTTAATCCTCCTCATGGCGGCAGAGGTGCATTTTGTTATCTAAATTTAGCTACAATGATAGCTAAATTGATAAAGCGTTCGTTTTATAGCTGCCCTGTAACCAGTGCCGGTTTTACATGGGTGCTATTGGGTGCTGTAGAACCGGGCGGTAAATTGTCTAGGGCGGTGAGCGAAATAAAAATATTTTTAACAATAGGATGCCTGCGATTACCCTACTGTTAAAAACAATTATTTTATTATAGCTCGCCGCTCACCGCCCGCCGCATACCGCTGCCCAATGTAAACGCAGGCTTAGGCCTAGAGAAGGCTAAACACAAAATACAATTGTGTGGAACGAGAAAATATGGACATAAGTACCACATCCAATATTTTATCTTCATTGGCCCAGTACTTTCAATATTTACGGAACGAGTTTGATCAATATGAAGCCAAAGGAATAGCTTTAACAGGCAACGAAAACTACATGGAACGACGAAGCACTAAAAGAAAGAGACATGTAGGGGAGCCAAATACAGAAATTATTTTAAGACCTAGAGAGAAAATGAGAACACAGATTTATCTTCCAATTCTTGATAATCTGCAGTCTGAAATTAATCATAGATCCGAAGTGTACAAAAGTAAAAAAGTTCTTAAACGAAATAAGTGATGAAATTAAAGTTGAATCTTCCAAAGATTTAGTAAAATGTTACATGAAAGTAAATTAACGTATTCATTCCCAAACATAAATGTATGCCTTCGTATTTTTTTCTATAATGGTTACAAACAGTGGCGGCTCGTGAAGGAGGACTCTGGGACTCCGCCCCCCCCAGATATTTTCAAACTATAAACTTAAAATAATGTATTTATTTAAATCAATAAGAAATCTAAATAGCATGCATTAAATATCTCTTGGATGTTAGGTTGGTTGCATAATGTGCATGTACTCCGTGAACGTAGCTCAGATTAATGCCATCTGCCATTTATGATCGTACCAAAGAGTTATGTTTAACCGCGCGCGCAATCCCCACTTCATCGCGGACCGTGAAATCTGAGTCCATCGTGCAAGCATATTTTTACATATGATTGGACAAATTAGCACGTGGAGGGGATAGGCGACGATAGGCTCGCGCGCTCCAGTGCTTTGTTTTGGGACTCCATGAGGCAGTAACCCGTATCAGTGAAGTGTGGTTATATGTGTTTTGTTTTTGCTTTGGCGTTTTTTAAGACATTATATTTTATAAGTTTAAGTTTAAAATGAGGGTTTGTGAAATAAAAAAACTTGTTATTAGTAATTTAAGTTTAGAGGAAAAAGTCGAATTGAAAAATAACGGACGTCCAACGCCAGTGTTGAATTTAGTTGAGGTGCAGAAAGAGTGCAAAAAGTGGGCCGGCTTTCGCAAATTTGATAAAAACATTTATGATAAGACCCTGTGGTTGTGTGGTTGTGACCAAACAAATAGATTTTTTTGTTTTGTATGTTTATTGTTTGGAGGAGGCGAAGAAAACTGGACGAAAACTGGAGTTTCTGACTTGAAACATTTAGAAATTAAAATTAAGAAACATGAAAATTCTCCTAAACACAAAAATAAGTTGGTGAGTTTTTTATTTTTAGGAAGAGTAAATATTGCTTCTTGTTTAAATAGTGCTTATGCAGAACAAATAAATAGTAAATAGTCATAACGAAATAGTTAAGAAAAATCGATTGCTTCTTTCAAAAATTTTAAATATCTTAAAATTATGTGGTACATGTAACCTTTCTCTTCGTGGACATAATAAAAAAAGTGACTCGGTAAACAAAGGGGTATTTTTAGAACTGATAGACTATAGTGCAAAAATTGATCCCGTTTTAGATAAACATCTTAGTGATGCCCATGTTTTTAAAGGAACTTCAAAAACTATACAGAATGAACTATTACAGTAATCTACATAATTATATCCTAACTGGGTTGGTTGATCGAGGAAGAGTAAATATTGCTTCTTGTTTAAATAGTGCTTATGCAGAACAAATAAATAGTAAATAGTCATAACGAAATAGTTAAGAAAAATTACCTTCAAATTCCTTAAAATTTTTCGCCTGCAGCTCTTATGATGTACGTCCTCTTTTCAAAATGCGCCCCCCCTTCCTGTATTCAAACCCACGGGCCGCCACTGGTTACAAATGTTAGTGGGGAGCGTTCATTTTCCACGCTAAAACTGGTTAAAACCTACCTTCGCAATTCAATTGCGCAAGAAAAATTAAATTCTTTAGCCATATAGTAGTATAGTTAGTAAATTCAGACATTTTAAAAACCATAGACACTAACCAGCTAATACAAACTTTTTCACATTTAAAAGCAAGAAAGCAACTCTTGTAAAACTGAATCAAACTCCTCATTTGCATTTTACTACTGTGATTGTATTATACATATATGTATATAGGTATTTACATATGTGATTATGTCTTAATTTCCAAAGTTCCTTCCTAATATAAATATAGTTCCTAATATATAAGTAGGCAAACATGACAATATTGTCACGTCTCCCGTTTAAAATACTAGAAATAATTGGTAAAAATAAAGATTATTACTTCGGGCTACTCGCTTGGCTGCAGAGAGGGAAAACACACAAATCAATCAGTTTTTACGGTTTATTATAAAATAAAATACTTACACTCCAAGGGCTGGCTGCCTGCTTGTCAAGTGGAGGCTCCTGGCCTGGCTCTCAAGGTGGCTCCTGACTGGCCCCGATTCACCAAGTTTCCGGGGTTTAAATTTTCTTTACAAAATGCTGAGAGCATTAGAATTAAACCACCGGTAGAAGAATCGGCCAGTTTATAGAGAGAGAGAGCGAGATGGACATAGTGCAAGGGTCAGTTCGGTATGCATTCAATTTGCAACTGGACACTTTTCGTTGCTTTTAAATCTATTGTGCAATACCGACATGTCAGTGATTCGAATTATATTTATAAATTTTGTTCTATGAAATGAATAAGTATTTGTACTGAGGGTATTTTTGTAAAAATCTACTAAAGAAAAATGTGTCCAAATAAAATAATGCTATATGTCCATAAATATTTATCTTTCAAAGTTTCTACATTTACAGGATGATTAAATTTTGAATATTACTCTTCCCTCTCTCTAAAATGCTTATATTTGACAATATATTGCAATATTGGTATTGGGCATTGGTCATGTTGGTTTTTTTGTTATTTATTTATTTTGACTTTGTAGTTGATTTTTTTATTATTTATTTGTTTTTTACTTTTTAGTTGGTTTTGAAAACCAAAGTTAGTTAGGAGAAGAATTTTGTTGTGCGTTTGTGTTGTTTTATTAATTTTATTTAAGGGTAAAATATTTATTTTTGTTTTATTTATATTTTATTCTTACTCAGTTCCTATTCAGTTCCTAATATATTAGTGATCCTATGTTTAAGAATGTGATGTTTTTTTTTCTTTTTATTTTGTGTGTGTATTTTCTTATTAGTTTTTGCTGCTGATTATTATTTTATTTTTTACTTATATAAATAGATAGATATTCTGTAAAATTATCTATAATACTTAGTTCCGGGTTTGGGATCCTTTTTTTTATCATAATATATAAATATAATTTCAGATTTTATAAATTACTAATTTACAAAAATATAGGTAGGGGAGGGGCGGCGATCACAAGTAATAGCACCGGGCGCTAAACTACCTTAAACCGGCGCTGACACTAACTGCCCCCAACAAACTATTTACTGTATCAAAGGATGAGAAAATGAGGANATAAGAACAGTGTTACGTATTTGAAGACTATTTCAACAGTATACGTAATTGTTGAAGTTAATGGATGGACAGAGTGAATATTAGGAATGACTGAATACATTATACTCGTATGTCCTAATTCAGCCTTTCTGGATTTCTTGATTGGGCTCCACTCTGCTGGATGAACATTGGACTCATGTATGTGTATAAGAACTGCATCTACTACTGGTTTTCCTCTACTGTATCATCATTTTGCATTCGAGATGATTTGTACCTCGTTGGTAGTGAAATGCCGTGCCTCAACAAGCTCGTGGTTGAAAAGTGTCTACGGGATGGTGTAGCTACTTGTTTGGGGGGTGGTGTGTTTCGCATTTTTCGTCCCATGAAAAAGAAAATGTAGAAGTGAATATTATGTCTTATATTAAAATTACATATTTACTATTGTATTATAATAAATTAGGTACAGGCTTTGTTTTTAATGTAAATACAATTGTGTCATGTAATTAAAATTCTGATAAACAAATCACAGTTGTTACTCAAAAAGGCAAAGTGTTAAATGATATCTTAATGATTTTTTTTTTCATCAAAAATCAAGGCATTCAATATTACTCAGTTCATCTCCTTTCTAAAATAAACCCCCTATAAACATTGAGGCTTCTAACTATTCCATGTATATGCATACACATGCATCTATGTGTCTCTTTAATTTTAATATAGAATTCATTTTGTGCCTATTTATATAAAACAGCTGTTAGTTTTTCTTTAAACTTATTTCAAGTTGCTAATTGAAAGAATATTTATCCAAAGTCATGCACGACAGTGGCTTAAATAAACTAGCAAAAAACAAACATTGAAATTTCTTTTTGATGGCCATCCGTTTTACAAACTTTTACCAAATGCACTTAATTAAACTTTCACTATAGTGTAAGGCGCCTTAACTCAACTGTTTAACCTTAATCAAACAATATTAGCAATTTTTTAAAATATCTTCTCCTTTTCCATACCATGTACAGAGGTCAGTTTCACTCGGGTGACCTTATAGTACCTGTAACTAAAGGGAGGTTAAATGATATGAATTATATAACACTGGAGAAAAAATATTGCAAAATTTAGTAGTATCTTGGCGACATGTGTTATAGGCAAAAGTTACGTGCGGTAGATATTCATCCCAATCCGTCTGTTGTGTATTAGTATACATAGCTAGCATATCTGCTAGAGTTTTATTTAGTCTCTCAGTTAGTCCGTTACAGGCTGGATGATAAGCTGTTGTAAATTGACTTACAATACCCATGTATCTTAATAGTT